TGGAGAATACGACTGGCCTTCATGTTACAAAGTCTATGAGTCAGTTTAGAAAGAGTAAAACGTATTTGTGGCATTGTCGTCTGGGTCATTTGTCTTTTGAGTCCTTGAAAGTTGTTTTCCCAGAAATGTGTAAGTCTGTGTCTATTTCTAATTTTTCTTGTCAAATGTGTCAGTTAAGCAAGCATTGTAGAACTCAATTTCCTCAAAGAAATAGTAAATMTGAGTTTCCTTTTCACATTGTGCATTCTGATGTGTGGGGCCCTGTTACTTTACCTTCTGAGAGTGGCTACAAGTATTTCATTACCTTCATTGACGATTATTCCAGATACACTTGGGTATATCCAATGCGAACCCGTGAGTAAGTACCAAAAATTATCCAGGATTTTCAGCGGATGGTCTTCACCCAATTTCAGACCGAAATCCAAATATTTCAATCAGACAATGCAAAAGAATTTTTTTATAATGACCTTACGGAGTTCTTTGCTTCACATGGCTCTCTTCATCGGAGCTCTTGTGCCCGCACACCACAACAAAATGGTGTGGCTGAGCGGAAGAACCGGCACCTTCTTGAAATGGCACGGGGTTTACTACTCCACATGAATGTTCCCAAATGATTTTGGCTTGAGGCTGTCCTTTGTTCTACATACCTCATTAACCGAATGCCCTCTCGTTGGTTAGAGTACAAAGCCACACATCAACTTCTCTTTCCTAAGGCCCCTCTTCTTTCTATTCCTCCTCATGTTTTTGGTTGTCGGTGCTTTGTCCAAAACCTATCTCCCACCTGGGGGAAATTGGACTCTCGTGCTATCCCGTGCATATTTCTTGGCCACTCATTCTCTCAGAAAGGGGATCGTTGCTTTGATCCTGTTTCTCGAAAATTCTATGTCTCCATGGATGTTACATTTTTTGAGGATGAGCCCTTCTTTCCTGTTTCTCCTCAGGGGGAGTGTAGGCATGAGGAGAAACTAGTTCAACTGCCTCTTTTTCCTACTCTTTCTCCTTCTGATCCTCCACCGTCTCCATGGATGTTACATTTTTTGAGGATGAGCCCTTCTTTCCTGTTTCTCCTCAGGGGGAGGGTAGGCATGAGGAGAAACTAGTTCAGCTTCATTCTCCTTCTGATCCTCCACCTTTCCGTGTTTTTTCTCGTCGTCGTAAAGGCCAACCAGGTTCAAGTGCTGTGGAGAATCCAGAAGCCGTACCTCAAATGCCATCAAATTCCTTGGGGGAAGATCATACTCACTCAGGTAACTTGACTCCCAACCTCCCTGTTGCTAATGATCTTGACCTTCCCATTGCCCACAGAAAAGGTGTTAGGTCGTGCACCACTAAACACCCCATTTCCAACTTTGTTTCTTATGAGAAAATTTCACATTCATTTCGTGCTTTTCTTACCTCCATTGACAGTATCCTTATTCCCAAGAATGTGGCAGAAGCTCTCTCAGTACCAGAATGGACGAAGGCCATGAAGGAAGAAATTGATGCGCTTCATAAGAATGTCGCGTGGGAACTTGTTGATCTCCCTAAGGGAAATATGTCATAAATTTGCTTAAGGACATTGGAAAGTTTGGGGCTAAACCAGCTGACTCTCCTATTGACCCCAACCACAAGTTAAGTGACAGCCAAGGTGAACCTCTTAAGAATGTGAAGCAATTTCAGAGGCTTGTAGGGAGACTATTGTACCTCTCTATGGCTCGTCCTGACATAGCATATGCTGTTGGTGTCCTCAGCCAATTCATGCATGCACCTAGGTCCACTCATCTTGAAGCAGTGGAGAGAATACTGTGATATGTTAAGAAGTTCCCGGGTGCTAGCTTATTATTCCAGAAACATAAACATTTGAGAGTTGAAATTTACACAGATGTGGATTGGGCTGGATCTCAAAGTGACAGAAGGTCTACTAGTGGTTACTGCACCTTTGTAGGAGGAAACCTTGTTACTTGGAGGAGTAAGAAGCAAACCGTGGTAGTTAGGTCCAGTGCTGAAGCTGAGTACCGTGCAGTGGCACACGGAGTAGCCGAAGGTTTGTGGATAAGGAATTTATTGGGAGAGTTGGGTTTTCCAGTTGGTAAACCCATGACTCTGCTCTGTGACAACAAGGCAGTTATAAGTATCGCTACCAACCCGGTATTACATGATAGAACAAAGCACATTGAAGTTGACAAGCATTTTATCAGAGAGAAAATCATCACAGGCGAAGTATGCACTCCATACATAAGCTTTGAAGCCCAACTAGCAGACATCTTTACAAAAGGGCTAAACCATTCCAGACACCAAGGTCTCTGTGACAAATTGGACATGATTGATATCTATGCCCCAACTTGAGGGGGAGTGTTGACAGGTGTATTATATGTACTGTACATAGGTTTAGTACCCATAGGGGTATTTTTGTAATTTTACAAGCCTATTGTGTTGTACGACCAGTATAGTATAAATACAATGTTGCACTTGACTGAAGCAGGACTTTTGAGGCCACAACTCTGTTGCCTCTTCTTCTTTTTCCTTCTTCTTTTCTTCTTCTCCTTCTTCTCCTGCTCAACAATATATATATTCTTTTAATAATTTATTAAAATTTTCAAAATTAAAATATGATTAGATCAAATTCAAACATCCAACAGCTTTAACAGATTTGAATTTGAATATATGTTTGTAAAATCCGATCGGATCGGATCTACTATTTATATTATCGGATCAGAAGGGATATATACCACGATTTGAATCCTATATGATCCATTTGCTTTAATAGGTAAAGTTTCGTTGATAAAAGAGGTTGTATAAATAAATAAATAAATAAAGTCTTTATTCAAAAAAGAAGAAACAAAGTATATTTTCTAAATACATGATGTATAGACAACCAGCTCCTCAACAACTCAACGGCCCTATAGATCAGCACAGAATCTGGTAAAGCTGTTTGCTCAAAATTCCTCAAGTCTCGAGTTCTCTCTGACCAAATGGCCCACAAGACACCTAAAGGGACTGCTGGCCAGCATACTCTCCCTTTCCTTGACAAGCCCGCGACACCCCAACACCCATAGGTGAATTCATGAAGCGGGTCGCCACAAACAATGCTAAGAGCTACCCAAGCCAAAGATGGAAAGATTTTAAATTTCCTACAATAATTACTATTTATTTTTTTCTATTTTAATATTTTATAAATGAAATATGGGCAGTGACAACCCCTCTTAATTTTTACTGTGTGACAAATACCCCTAATCTGTTAAGTCAGAATGCATTAAATTATCAAAATATCCACTTAAACCCTTTTTTTTTTATTTCTTTTCATTATCCTTAACCTAATCTAATCTTCATATTTCCTTCCTTATCTTTGTTGCTCACCGATCACTATTTTTCTCCCCTTCCCTTGTTTTTACCTCTACTCCTTTGGTGCTGATCACCACTTAGCATCAACATTCATCACCGGTTACCCCCACACAAATGGTCGAATAGGACAATCAAAAGACTTGCAATGATAGTCTCTTTTTAAGATAACAGAGACCAAAATGATACCTTTTACGAAGAAATGGCTGAATGACACGACTAACAGAAATCACTAGTATTGAACAAATCAATCGATGTCATTCGTTCAAATAAATAAGAAAGAGTAATTTGGGGATTTAAAATTTAGACAATCGAATGATTTTTTTTTTTGAAGTTAATGGATGGAATGCCACTGAAAGGGGTATTTGTCTAACGGCTAAAATACAGAAGAGTCTTTGTGGCAAATTAAAATACAGGAGGATCTTTGTCAATGACCCCAATAATACAAAAAGGTCTACAAAAATAACTGCCACGTCAACAAAACCATTCATATAACACTGCCCAAGTCACAATGAGACAAAAAGGTATTTATTAATTTTGTCTTTTTGACGAACACACCTAAGCACGGATTTTTTTGCAAATACATTGTAATGATGAGATCGTAAGGTTTTTATTTGTTTTGTCCTTTTGTGATTTTACGCACAGCTCCTCCTGCCCATGCCAGTCGGCGCTCGGCTATTTCTTTTTGTTTCATGCGGTATTTTAAAGGTAAATTTCTGAAACCTCCTCTAATTTGTTTGCCGTTGCTAAAACTTCTTTTGTTAATTGCAATCACCTCCCCAACTTTTTGATACAATTTCTCTATGTTACAATTCTTTCATAAATAACAAACAAATGTCGAAATTATATATATACAATTAAACAAAAAAAAGGAGAAATCACAGCTTTTATTTTTGAGCGTTGATATAAAAGGCCATTTTGAAAAACAAATCAAATTTAAAAAAAATCTATATAATAAAAAATAATATTTAGAACATTTCCATGCCTCTCTTTGGAGAATTATAACAAAGGGATCAACTTACTGCGAGGTTGTTACAAATTTACAATTACCAAACTCCGCGGGAGATTTCAGCAGCAATTTACCGGTTTACCCTATTGTAAAAGTTATAGGACGACCGACGACCCATCAAAAAGCCTCTGGACTCTGCTCCTCTCCAATTAACAACAAACTTCGGTAGTTACGAGGGCCACGGTCAAGAATAAAACCCAGATCTATCTCTCCCTCTCTCTCTTTCCCCTCTCTTCAGAATAAGTAGCCACGTGGCATATTAAAAACCATTCTTTCGGGCCTGGCCTGAATATCTGTTTCACCAAAACAGATTTACCGAGTTTTGGATGATGTGGCAACATCACTGGACCCAAATTTTACAGGTTTATTCAGTTACATGACGAAGCTGACGTGTCACGTGGTCATGAATTTGTCCACTTGGGACCACAGAACTCGTTTCTCTTCTGAGTGAACTCGGTGAGATTGGATCCTACATGGGAGTTGAGATCTACTTATAGGTGGGTATGTAGGATGTACATCTCGACCGTAGCCTACGGCCCAAAACAAGAAACCATATTTGCAAGTTGGTAGTTGGGCCCGACTGATGCGAACTGTGATTGCTCCGATTGATTAAATCTACGACCACTTGGTATGATAAAGACAAGTATTATGACAAGTAGAATAGTATCGAAACATCGATACTTTTCCCTTTACATGGATCAAGTCAATGAGTCGTCTCTGAGACACTCTTGACTCTTCTTCTCGGATCTCCACTCCTACTCTCCCCTCGGCGCATGTTAGATCTCATCTCCCTCTCTCGCTCATCTCCACTCTCTATCCCTCCCTCCAAAGACAGTGAGACACCCAAACTCTTATCTTCTGTCTCCCATCTACCCACCACCACCACATGACACAGAAGGGCGTAGTTTAGCAGCTTCAGACCCCAACCCCAAGACAGCCATGGATCCCACACGGAAAAAGCACCCAAAACCAAAATCCAGCAGCAGCAGCACCACCACCACCCACAGCCACAACAAGCCCCTCCCCACAACCCAAGGTCCCATTCCTTCCTCCACACTCAACAAAATCACCGCCCTCTACTACTCCAGATGGAATGCAAACCACAAAGCCCATCCACCCTCAAAACCCGCAGATCCACCTCCTCGTGTCGACATCCATTTGCAGGCTAAAGCCTTGACACTCTCCGCCAATGCCGACTCCTTCGACGGGTCTCTCCTTAAAAATAACCACCCCCTCCACCAACATGACCAAAAGCCCCGCCACCACCACCACCATCACCAACAACAACAACAACAACAACGGCAACGGCAACGGCAACGGCAACAGAACGATAATCTGTCGACGGAGATGGAAAAGAAACAGATTAAAGAGGCGAAAGAGAAAAACAAGGTAACATCCAAAGAAAAAGATGATCCCAGGAGGCCTTCGATTTCTCTCACGACCGGCAGGAGGAGGTCCTTCTGTGATTCAAAGATTGAGATGAGCGACTTCTTATCTGGTGTTGGGGCCAAGGTCGTCGCCATGGACATGCCACCATTTATGCAGATCCATGCCGTGAGCTATGCGCGGAAGGTGTATGATAGCTTAGAGAAGTTCACTTCCAAGACCTTGGCTTGTACTCTCAAGAAGGTAAGTGATAAACAGTACTGGATTCGATCTAGATTGAGTGTGTATTGTTGGTGGGGATTGGTTGATCTTGACGGCAATCGTGTGGTGTATGTATTTTGATGTTGCAGGAATTTGATGGGGTGTATGGACCTGCGTGGCACTGCATCGTGGGGACCAGTTTTGGGTCCTTTGTGACCCATTCAGTGGGTGGGTTTTTGTACTTCTCCATGGATCATAAGTTGTATATCCTCTTGTTTAAGACCACTGTACAGAGAGCTGATTGAATGTGATTGATATGTGAGAGAATTGGAGAGTAGGCCTAAAATCATAGAAAAAGCAAAAGCTATAAAGTATTGTCTCTTTTGATATTTGTATATGCATATTTATTTCTGCTCTATAAATTGGAGGGGGTTTTCTTTGTTCCATTGCTCATTCTTCTAAATTCTATTCCCAATCTCATATTGTGAAATTCCTTATTTTGGACCAACCCCATTTTATTATACATGTTTTATTGTGATATTATGTGATTCAAATTGATCTAGAAGTGTGTGTAATGGGATTAAGAGAGACAAGTTAATTGGGAATTAAGATTGCTTCAATTCGCTAGATTTCCTTTTAATACTTGGTGGAGATTTTAGGAGAAACTAGAAACCTCCAACTGATCCCAATTCAATGAGAGAACAGAGTAAGAGTGTTTTCACAAATTAGTATTAGCTTTTACTCTTCTATCTTTCCAAAATTTCTACAATAAATCTACTTTTTGCAACTTCTCCAGGTGAGAGTGGTGACTGCCGACTGCGTACTTGACCCTTTTTCTTTCTTTTTCCTTGGTTATGTAAATGTATGAATTAGTACTCTGTTTCTGTCAAGTGTCAAGCAGACCGATTTTCTATATTCTTGCTGTGAGAGCTCGAGGAGTAACTGACTGACACTCAACTACAAATATCCTAGGATAAATATTTCAAACGAAACTTCATGGAAAAGCAACAAGAAAACAACATACAGAACATGGAAGAGATGACAGCGGAATCTGAAGTCTGAACACCACATCATCAGGTTCCAAGATTAAAATCCTAGGCCTAGATCACCTTCCTCTTTAAGATCAATCTCTAAAACCTCCCTAAACCAGCTCGGGGGCATAGATGATGATGATGATGATGTTATGGGTCTTTGGGAGACATATGGTTAATGACTTTGTACTCGTCACAAGAAAGGAAAGCTATACATATAGGCGGCTGAAGGTTAAGTACCCTTGAAGGGCTGATAATGGCCACCGAGATGGACATTGGGAGTATTGTATTTGAAAATGATGCTTAATGGTTCAAGTGTTAAAACTCGGCGAGGCCACTATTAATATGGCCGAAGCCTGGGCAGCTTAGGAAACTCATAATTTAGCCTTAAATTTCAAAGACACCCGTATCTATAGAGGGGACTCCAAACTTGTCATCTCTTGCTTGCTAACGAATCTCGATCGCCTTTGGAGCATAAAGAGCATCGTTGAAGACTGCCGAATCAGGCAGCTGACTGGATAGCCCATTAAGCCCAATCTTTTCCTCCATGTTTCTTAAATTTTAATTTGCAAGATCTCCCTTTTCCTTTGGATTTTATTTGTAATTTGTAATTGTGATCTCCCTTTTGGATCTATCAAAAAAAAGTGTTAAAATTCGGCTACTTTTGTTCCACCACGACGGGCAATTGCCGACTGTTTTTTTAGTGCAGAGCTATTCTCCAGAGGTACCCAAGTTACCCTGTTCAAATCATAATATAAAATGTAATATGGTGGATCACAAATTGGTCGCCTATGGGCTTAATCATATGGGTTTTTTTTTTCCTGGAACCAAGGACTGCTTGTAACCGAGTAATTTTGCAATGAACTGAGCCTTAGGGCTATTGAAAAGAGATAAAATAAGGTTTGATAACAACCCACTTTATCCAGAAGAATGGACCACTGCAATGCAGCATCTTGATAGTGTTTGTGGTATTCTCTTTTTCTCGAGTTAGGGCAATAAATTATTTTGAGGCCATACCCAATGTTATTGTTTCCAGTCATTTGGGTTCTTAGGAGGGATAGATTGAATATGTTCTGGTCCCAGCCATTTGGGGTCTTGGGAGGGATAGATTGGATATGGTCCTAATCTTTGGCATTTTTATTTTGTACAAAATGGTCGCTCTCGTACTCAAATCTGTATTTTCACACTTGTTCACCTAAGAATTTACCAATACTCCAAGTAATGGCCCCTTAGATGGTTTTTTAACTTGAATCAAGACACAATTCCAACTCCTGAGAGGCTAGCACACAATGACACATAGTTGGAGTCCAGATTTGCAATGTAAACATGCTCTGTACTTGTGTGTTCCCGGGGCCTAAACCGTGGAGACAACAATCATGTTGTGATATGCAGCTATAAATTATGTTGGAAGTTATATCGATAACATCTTTATGGCTAGAAAATCTGGTTTTACATATTTGAGGGAAAAACTTTTTGAGGGCTTTGTTTTCTTATATAAACTAAATAGGAATTCCCATGCATCTGCACTGATGCACAGGCACGAGTAGAAAACAAGAATTAGAAAAAATAAAAAATTTATTTAATTTTTAATTTTTATATGTAATAAATTAATATAAATATAATATATTAAATTTATTATATATATATATATAAATTCATATATAGTATAATATATAGAATATATATTTTTATAATTTTAAATATAATTATATAAAAATTAATAAATATTATAATATAATCATATTCGGATTTTAATAAAGTCAGAAGGGGTTAAATCCGAATCCAATCCAATTATTAATCAGATATAAATTGTAACATCCAGATCCAATCTGATTACATAAATACATTATCTGAAACCAAAATAATCAAATTGGATGTAGAATCAGGTATTATTTACAAGCCTAATAGCAATTGGACATATGGTAGAAAAAACATAAAAGGAATCAAAACATGAAAAAAGTTGAGAGGAATGACAGGCCTAATCTCATGTGTGAACTGAATTTTATTTTATTTTTTGAAAAAGACAAATCAAATAATAAGGGGAGCCACATAATCATCTCCTTCCTATAATATATAAGCATAGATATTAGGTTGTATCCACTGAAAATGGAAAGGCATATATATCACTCAACTCCAAAAATAACCTTGAGATAAGTCTATCATTGATTATTTGATGACTCATCTTTTTCTTAGGTGGACCCAGGCTATATATTGTAGGATACTGTTGGATCCAAGAAGCTCCAATCCAGCTGAGTTCATTCACTATTGATCATTTATCTGCATGAGTGTTTCATAACCAAGGTTCAAAGCGCAGAGGCGTATCGGTACTTAGATTAATACGGAAATAGAGTTTTTTTTTTAGTTTTTTTTTTTTTTTAAATTTTGGTTTTTGAGAGTAAAAATAGGGTTCTTTTTATTAAAAAAGGGTGGGATTTTAAGTGTTTCGGGACCCAAAAGATATGATACGGGGTGTATCATATAAATACTTTGAACCTTGTTCATAAACAGCAATGAGATTACCCCAAATCAAAGGGTGGTCCACATCAGAGTAAGAAGGAAACTTAACAGTGAACAAGAAGTTAATAGAGTCTAATTAAAGCTGTAATCTATTCTGTCATTGGAATTTGTGGTGAAGTCTTCTTCTGAATCTGTCATGTAGGGGTGTCAATGGACTGGTTTTGGATTGAACCCTGTTCAAATTAAAATCAATTTGGACGGATTGAATGGACCAACAAGACATATTGATTTGGACCAATTCAGACTTAATGATCTGAAGTATTTATTGGATTGGATTGGACCTGGCCCATCCATATTGAATTTATATTGGATTGGGTTGGATTGAACCAATATCTGGTCCATCGATAGAAGATAAGAATATAGGTGTCAATGTACCAGGTTTGAGTTAGAATTAATTTAAATTAAAACAAATTTGAACAAATTAGATCGGCCAGATATTAATTTGATCCAAAATATTCATTGGATTTGATTGAACCTGATCCATTTATAATGGACTTACATTGAACTGAATTGGATTTGGTTGGACCAAATCCAGTCCAATTGACACCCCTACTGTCATGGACTGCCTTTTCATGTGGGTTCTTCTCATTGGTAGGTAGTAGGAAACACTCATATAGGTAAAAGACCAAAAAGAACTTACTGATGACCCAATAGCATGGTTTTTAAAAATGAACCGGTGATCGAATCGGTCAGGGGTCTGTTACCGGTTCGAATAGTCCAACCGTTCGACCTGAACGACTGGCCCGTTCTGACAAAAAAAAAATTGGAAAATGGTCAAAACCGTTCAAACAGTTAACCAGCTGATTCAGCAATTTGCTGACCAAAATCAACGATTTTAAGGAAAAAAACGGTTTTGAAGAAAAATGGAATCGATCAAGTGACCGTTTCCCAATTTTTCCGGTTCGACCATCCGGTTCGGTCCGGTTTTGAAAACAGTGCCCAATATTTCAGTTGGTCATTGAGCAATTAGCATTCTTTCGTAGTTGGAAGATGGCTTCACTCGGTTGAGTTGAATATTAAAATTCCAGTTACTGAATTCATTTTAAAATTTAAACAAGGGATTGAATTAACGCTATGAATTACCAAAGCTTTATTTGGTATTAATGCAGTTTTTTAAGACAACAACGATGTCTTTAAATTCGTTAAAATACATATTTGTACCGTACATATTTGTATTGTATTCCTTGCAAGCTGAGCCTTAAGTTTTATATACACTTAATATTATTTGGTGCCATTTAAGCCATATAGGTAAAAAGGAAAAAAACGTTTTCTTCATTCAAGAAGCTGTTTGCACAGAACCCAAGTATAAATGTTACTTAAAATTGTTTGAAAAAAATACTTGATAAATGCAAGATGCCAACCGGTTGGTTGGTAAAGTACCCTGATGATTGTAACGGAGACTTGAGATTGAATCGCATTTGCACCTGAGTTGATAGGGGTTTTGGGTTTGGGGATGTACTACCCCCGTTATTTATCTCCTTAGAGCAAAAAAAAAAAAAAAAGCATTTAAAAAACGTCCAACTGAATATAAAAAAAAAGCAGAAGAGAAGATAAAACACCTACATGCATGGTGATGTGAATCTGATAAAACACCTGCATAGTGATGCTAATCAAAGAATAAACACTGAAAAAACGAAAATAATACCAAACACATACTGACATACAAATTCATTTCATTGCATTGGGGCTTGGCCTGGCCAGTTCACTGGGCAAATTGATTAATGTTTTAATAATCACATAGTTGATTTGAAGGGAAATTAGGATTACCTAATAAGCATAGGGCATAGATAAGGTTGGTCCGATTTACTATTTTCTAGGTCTAAACCTAGCCAATATAAAGTTCTCTCAGCTAGGACTCTCAGCCCGAGCGAGCAGGCTTGGACGAGGAATGTTCTAAG